TGTAGCTACACAAACCAGAGCCCATCCCTGTGTGGGTGTACATATACATCATAACCTCATGGCTTTAGTTCTACAGCCTGAAGGACACCAAGGTTTGAGAGAAAAGAATCATCCAGTCAACACAAATCCAACTTCCTATGGGAACATGAACTTCAAACCCTACAGGGCCTCCTCCCTGTATTAAACCAAGCCCAATCCAGTTTGACTTATAAAGTATGACTGAGTCCAAGCATGTGGCTGAATCATGGGCCTCTAGGATATACTATTAAACAAGATGACTATAACCACTGCCTTATGTTCTAATCTTCCCTATTACAGCATCTTTAAACATTTAATATAATGAAAATGATGATCCCATTAAATTCTAATTCAGAATGCAAACAATGAACAAAATAATTGCTACCCAACTACTCACTCAGACAAGTGAAAATTCCTGGCTGCCTAATTAGAAAATATTTAAGTGGTATATTCGTGAATACATCCTATTCCAAATTTTTACTCTTAGTTGGGTAATATAATTAAAATGTGCTTATAAAAAGAATGCTAAGGGTCTTGAAAGGAGATTTAAATAAATGAATATGATAAATTAAAAATAGGAAAAATACAAGCAGAAACCAATTAATAGAAATAATCTCTCTTCAAAACCTCACATATCTCACTAGCATTTTAGAGTCTTGACATATTTCAGTGTCTTTCCACATCACCAACTTAGGTTTGCTTGGCCCTACTGCACATTTTGCTCTGTTCTTTCTTGCCTGTGGGTGCACATTCACGTTCATGCCTGCTCAGGCAAACATGCTTTCTCACTGAGCAATACTGGGCACTGCTGTTTTGGAACTTGGCCTTCATCAATGTTTTAGGTTAAACATCTGCTTGAAGAAACTGATAAATAAGAACTTTTTAAATCAAAAATTACAAAACCATGCAATTAACCAGGTATGCTTTCATAGCAGATCCAAATAAAATGCAAAATTTATGGGGAAAACTTGAGTAAAAACTACTGTTAAGACAATACTCTTTAAATGTGATTATTAGTGTCCAATATACAAAAATTTGCCTATAGTGATTTTTCAATATAACTTTGTCCTTTTTTTTTTAGTGAAAAATATGTGTAGCTCAACCCCATTCATTTAATTCTTACAAACCCTGGAAGAAAAATATTCATATGTGTTTAAAGTTTTTTTAAAAAAGGTGGGGGGGCTCTAGGACTTCAATTAAAAGTACAGTTTTACAAACACTGTTAAAAGAAACAGAAGAAGATGCAAAGAAATGGAAAGACTCATGGATTGCTCATGGATTGAAAGAATAAACATTATTAAAATGGCCATCCTACCAAAAGCAATATACAGATTCAATGCTATTCCAATAAAAATTTCAATGTCATTCTTCAAAGAAACAGAACAATTATTGATGAAATTCATATGGAATCACAAAAAACCCTGAATAGCCAAAGCTCTCCTGAAAAAAAAGAAAGGAATGGAGGCATCACATTCTCAGACTTCAAACTATGCTCCAAAACCATAATCATCAAAACTGCATGGCATTGGAACAAGAACAGACACACAGACCAATGGAATCAAATAGAAAATCCAGAAATAAACCCACAGATTTATGGTCAACTAATCTTTGACAAGGGAACAAAGAATATGCATTGGAGCAAAGAAAGTTTGTTCAATAAATGGTGCTGGGAAAACTGGGTCACTACATGCAAAAGAATGAAGCTTGGCTACTACCTAACACCATGCACAAAAACCAACTCAAAATGGATTAAAGAACTAGACATAAGACCTGAAACCATGAAATACATAGAAGGAAATACAGGCGAAACACTCATGACATGCACATCAAAGACATCTTTACAGACACATCACCCAAAGCAGTGATAGTGAAGGCAAAGATAAACAGCTGGGACTACATCAAATTAAAGAGCTTCTGCACAGCAAAAGAGACAATAACCAAAACAAAGAGAAACTCCACCAACTGGGAGAACATTTTTGCACCTAACACTAATGATAAACGACTGATCATAAAAATCTGCAAAGAGCTGATGAGACTCAACAACAACAAAGAAAATAATCCAGTTAAAAAATGGGCAAAAGAGCTAAAAAGAAACTTCTCTGAAGAGGAAATGCAAATGGCCAACAGGCATATGAAAAAATGTTCCACATCACTTGTAACCAGGGAAATGCAAATCAAAACTACAATGAGATACCATCTTACACCAGTGAGAATGGCACATATTAAAAAAATTAGCAACAACAAATGTTGACGAGGTTGTGGAGAAAAAGGAACTCTCCCGCACTGTTGGTGGGAGTGCAAACTGGTCCAACCACTATGGAGAGCTGTGTGTAGATTTCTTGACCTACTAAACATAGAGCTTCCATATGATCCAGCAATTCCACTCCTAGGTATTTACCCTAAGGACACAGAAACATCAATTCCAAAGAGCACCTGCACCCCTATGTTATGGCAGCACTGTTTACAATAGCTAAGCTTTGGAAACAACCCAAATGCCCAAAAATAGATGACCGGATAAAGAAGATGTGGTACATATACACCATGGACTATTACTCAGCATTCAAAAAAGATAAACACATGCAATTTGCAGCAACATGGATGTCGCTGGAAGGGATCATGCTCAGCGAAATAAGCCAGAAAGAAAAAGTAAAATACCGGATGTTCTCACTCATAGCCGGAATCTAGAAAACTTAAATAAGGGACCAGGAAAAAGAATAACTATAAGAAAGAAAATATCAAAATCAACAAACAACTATGTACCAGAGACACTCTATGGGGGGTGGGGGCAGGGAAAGGAGGGATGGGGTCAAAGTAAGGGAGCTGTAATTGTATGGGGAATATAAAAATAAAATTTAAAGAAAAAAAAGTACAGTTTTACAGATGAAAATACAGTATTATTTTATGAGATACAGGATAACTTTAAAAAAACTTCAGCAACAAAGAAATCACATAAGCATTTAAATCTGATATACAATAAAGAGTTCTAATAAAAGAAAATAAACCAAACTAGGAAACCATAGTTCAAAGTTAAACAACTTTCTAAAGTTCTCTCTCTGCCAAAATAATAGTTCAAAACAAATAAGATCCAAATTCTCTACAGCAATATAAGCTCTTTAATATTAAACTTCCTCAGGAATCTGTAGGATCATTGATGTATACAGAGACTTATTTAAACATACAGCATATATATCACAATTTTTAATTATAATTCTTTATAAGTATTGAAGAGAAAATGCCTGGAAACCATTGTTTTTTAAAGTCAATGCTTTTAGAAGACTAGCTAGCTTTTAAATGTTTTGCTTCTACCTGAAAATCTTCAAATAGAGCAAAGTATATCCTTAAAGATGCATTATGACATAAATCTTCTAATAAGCCAAATATTTTTATTCAAAGGCTAGGAAGACCTTATTGTTGCAGGTACAGACAGTGTCCAGCTATGCTGCCTCCTTATGGTGTCATGTTTTAAGTCACATGGGGAGTAAAGTGTGATAATCACAATGTCTGCAACCACTAAGCCCTTTTGGCACTGTTGCTACAGGAGATCTGGTGCTTTATTTTGGACAAGTGTAGGTAAGCTGATCCTAGTTTTTCTTTTTAATTCACCTCTGTTGAAATAATGCTTCTTAAAGGAAGGAGACTATTATAATGTTTGAAAGGGATTCAATATCTATAGCTTTGTAGATGTTGAGATAATTTTCAAAAAGGTGGTGGGGGAAAAGAAGGAGAGGAGGAGGAGGAGGGGGAGGGGAGGGGAGGGGAGGGGGAGGGGAGGGGAGGGGGAGGGGGAGGGGAGGGGGAGGGGGGGGAGGGGGAGGGAAGGGGAGGGGAGGGGGGAGGGGGGAGGGGGAGGGGGAGGGGGAGGGGGAGGGGGAGGGGAGGGGGAGGGGAGGGGAGGGAGGGGAGGGGGGAGGGGGAGGGGAGGAGGAGGAGAAAGGGAGAATGGAATTTTATGTCAAACATATCTAAAATAAAATCTTAACTTTGTAACTTATTAGCAGCATGACCTTGGCAAATCTCAAGTTCTTCATCTGTAAAAGTGGAATAATAATTGTTTCTGGTTTGGGGCATTGTTGGGAGATTTCAATATAACATAAGTAAAGTACTCAACAGTATGCATCACATATGGAAAACAATCAAAATATGATCTATTCTAATAATTATTATTTTTATTGTAATCATATGTTTGTGAATTTAATGAGTTTATAGCTTAGGTTTAGTCTATTTGGGAATATATTCAGTTCTCCAATATTATATAATTCTTCTAAATCTAAGAAAAATAACAGATAAAGAAATATGCCATTTTCAATAATATTGTCCAAGGATTTAGTTTCTTATAAGGCATTATGATCATGAACTCAAGAGCCACAGAGCCTCATTTGAATCCCAAATCTGGTTTGCTGATTGTGTGACCTTAAATGAGTACTTACTCTGTGTCTCAGTTTCCATCTATTTACTGGGGATAACAATATCCCCAGAGAAGCGTTATGAGAATTAGATGAGTAAATATATATAGTCTCCTTTGGACAGTGCCTGACACTTAGTAATAGCCATGTGAGTATTGATGTTGTTTAGTTTTTAATAATTCTCACAGGAAAACTGTTTACTACTCAAAAATTGGCTATTGTTAAACTCAGTTACTCAGTCGAGCAACTAGATGAGACTATGATTTGCAAACTTGTGAGTTCTAAGTGTGAACTGAAACCCTTCAGTTCTCTATATGCACCATCTTAGTCAACTACCTATAGATTCTGCATAGCAATTTACTATCTGACAAAATCCAAATACATTACTATAGTCTGCATGAGTGCACTAAAGCTTAGAGTGATGATCTCTAAGTATCATAAATGTGATGTTTTCATTTTTTACTTTTTTGCCATGCACATGTATTCCTTGCATGTAGTAAGCGGTTATTTTAAAATTTGCAAATTATATAAACACATCTCGTATTTGTCTAAAGGAAAAAGACTTCACAAATTCCATACCTGTATTTATGAATGATGGCATTAAATAGTTTTCCGTCTCTCCAGCAAGTAGTGAAATTTTCACACCGTATTCCAGCATAACCCTCTGTTGCCTGCTGTGTCCACAGTAATAATCTCTCTTTTGCAGACATATCTTCTGACTCTCCAGTAACATGGATATCAGATATCTAAATATAATAGAAAGTGTTAAACTATTAGGAAGGAAAGAAGCTAACTCATTAAGTACCTACTATGTGCCGAGCACTCTACCAGCACATATAACTCTGACTTGTAAATATTTTTCCTCATTTATATATAAATACACACACACACACACACGAAAACTGAGTTTGAAAGACAGAAACAGTATAACAGATTGAAAGATCTAATTTAACCCAAGAATCTAATTTTTTATACCAAAACTTCACAGCATTGACTATTCTGCTTTACCCTTTATAAATCTTATCTGTTAAAGCAACTTAAGCATATCTTTTTCCATGTTCAAATGGATCAAACCTACATTACCACTTGCAGAGCAGAATTTGACCCAAAGGTATTTTGCGTAAAGAACAAAGTAGGGAAATAGTATCCTCTCACATTTTATATAACAATTTGGCCTAAAGTCTCAATTTTTTCACGAGTTCTTGAACAGTTTGCTCAAAGGGAAACCTTCGTCAACTTATTTTTTTCTCTGCACTTTGTTTTAAATAAATTTCCTTGAAGTCTCTTCTAATAAATAATAATAAAACTGGTCACCAGTTCACATGATTTCCATTTTCCCATGAATCTCTTTGATAAGGATCCTACTTAATCTGCTGATAATGATATTAAGGCATAAAGTTACCAGGGGTCATACAGTAATTCCAAAGCTGAGATTAACACCATCAAACAACTGTTCCCTCAAGCAGGGCAGGGTACAAAGCCAAGAGATCAAGAAGACAGATGGCAAGTCAGGATCAGGATGAGCAAATAAGAAATTGGAAGCAAGACATGGAGAGGTACTGGGCCTTTTGTAATAGGCCGGGGCGGGGGGGGGGGGGTCAGGAATCACTGAAGTCATGAGATTAGCTTCTACTCTGAGCCACTAGTCACACAGCTTTGAATAATACATTTCACATCTGTTAGTGTTAACGTCCTTGTCTCTAAAATGAGGAGGTAAGAAGTAGAAGCAGAAAATGTTTAAGACTCTTCAATCTGAAGTCTTACTAAGAGACTATAATGTAAATGCAACACAGAGGTCAGAGGTCATAACAGAGTAAAGCAACTGAAAATAGAGAATAAAAAACCAAAACTAAAGAAAGCCTTTTACATGCAGCAATGCAAGGCTTAAATAGGAACCCTTTTATTCCTCCCAGCTGCCACAAGAATCTGAGGCATGGCCTTCCCCGGGACCTGGGTCAGAAAAGTTGCAGCAGTTAAAGCCCATGCCAGCCCTGGTACCCCCTAACAGCACCAACTGGAGACAGTGGCAGGGCCACTCCCACCCTTTCTCCAGTGTTCAGCAGGGGCACCCTTGCCCTGGGCAGCTTCACTCTCAGCCATGGTCCAACCACGTTCTATGACAAATGATGAGGATTTATAAGTAGAGCAAAATGTTTCAACTTAATCAAATTTCCTAGGATTCTGTGCTAAATCCAGAGTATGGTAAAGAACTGTGTGCATGAACACTTAATATAGTATACACAGCAAGGATTTCTCTTTTTTTTCTAAAATGGAAAAAAAGGAACAGAAAATTCACCAATATTCTTCTAACTTACAACTGACATTCTGGTAGAAAATTAAGCCGGGGTCTCCCTGGTGGTGCAAGGGGTTAAGATGCAACCTATGAAGCTAGCTGTAGCCACCACAGCATGTGTTCGATCCCCGGCCAGGGAGCTACCCACATGGTGCAGCAGACCTCTCCTGCCTCACCCACTGTTCCCCTAAGCAGTGTATTTCAGTCATCAGCCTGTTCTGTTACCCACTCTGTCTCTGGTGAATCCTCTCACCCCCTGCACCTCTGGCCTGTACCCCAGTTCTTATATGTATAAATGAATAAATCTTAAGAAAAAAGAAAAGAAAATTAAGCCAGAGAACCTTTCTGGTACATCCTCAGATTCAATATCGTCTCCACCACTGAAATGTACAACTGTACTGACTTAAGACTGTTTCCTCACTTGCTCATTCAACAGCATGAATTCAATGCCTGGCACATAGCAATTTGCATGCTCAACATATGTTAGCTATTTTATTGCTGTGGTTATTATTAATCTTTTTCACAAAGGGGGAAGCAAAACTTGGCTTTAATTTTCTCTCAATTTTCTTCCGAAAAAGAGGAATAAATAATTTGCTACCTCAATTACATCAAAATCTATGAAAACAAGAGTTCAGAGAAATTAACCTAGGAAATACTCTAAATGAGAAAGCTGAACTTCTAGGTAAAATTTCACAACAAGTTCCTCAGTCTTTACAAATTATAAAAGCAACTGCTTTGGGGAGCCTGTAATTACAATGCAGGAAAATGGCAGTATTTGTAAATATATAAAGAATGATAATGGGGTGCCGATGGGGGGAGGTATGGCTATTTTCTGCTGGGTCAAAATCATTCCACACCAATCCAGTCACAAAATTAATTAAAAAATAACAAGTTATTATATCATAACTACCAAGTACCAGTTTAAGTTTAATAGATTCAAGTACAATACAGTATTTTACCCAAGGATGGGAAAGATATTAGAGAAAAAGAAGTTGAGATGTCTGAAAATATCAACCAAGAGAAAATAATATATCTTTATTAAATAAGTTTCAACACATGAATTTCAGATTTTCGCTCACAGATAAGATTTCAGACTGTTACACGTGCATATTCTGTTCAAAAAGCTGTAATTTGAAAATCCATATCCAAATATTTTATGAACCATACTTTAACATATCAAAGGTTACAACCACATTAGTGCTTTTACCTTCTGCTATTTCAAACTAAATGAGTATTATATCCCCACATGGAAATTTTAGATATTTTAAAATATATACTGTTTATCATTAACCATTATCTATCTGAGTATATGAGACCGTTCATGATATCATGCAACCAAAACTAAAAGGAAAAAGAAACTAAATGTTAGAAATTCTTAGTCTGCAGTTGTCATTCATATGCCCTGATTTGAATTCTGTATATTCAGCAAAACAGCCTGAACCCTCCATCACTGGCAGGTTAATAGTGGTTCCACATTCAGGTTGGATTCTAGGAAGTAATCAAATCTGCTCCCTTCAAGTTCTTGGGACAACACGGTGATTATCAGAGAAAGGGTTGCAATTCAGCTGCCTGTGTTTCACAGCAAATGACCTAAAGCTATTCATATAATCTTTTGAATATACATTTTCCTCATTTTTAAAATTTAAATGATGACACAACTGCTACTCCTTGAATGGTTCTAAAGATTAGCCAGATCAAATGTATATCAAGCAATTAGCACACTGCACATTATAGAAAACTATTACTGTTAGCTAGCTGCTCCTACCACAATTTTATTAGTAATATTTGCTGCTTAAAGCCTCTCACCAACAAGCTGTCAGCTAGCATCAAAAATAAAGTTTACTGGAAGTTCCCTGGAAACTTGAAGCCCTCATGCCTCACATCCAGGTCATTGTTGGCTACCACCCAAATTCAAGTTCTTCCTGTCACTGAGCCTCTCATGCCCTTATTTCATCTCTGCTTCATCTCTCCTGACCCAGATTGCCACCATTCTCAAACTGATCAGAGACATCTATTCCATTGTAAACAATATTTCTTAAACCTTCAATACCCTGAACTACTTCTGTCATTTTACTGAACTCCAGGTCCCCCCCACTGCATTAACTCAAGTGCCAGACACCACCAGGAAAACAGGAAAGGCAGGTATATTCTAATAATTTCAATGATACAAACCTAGTATGTTTTAAGCAAAGGCCTGATTTTCTACATTGTAGGCCACTCCTTGTACCATCTTCTTGGTCTCTCCAAAACTGATCCTCACACCCCCAAAAGGTTAACCACTTGGCTGAGAGTATGCCTGTCTCCATCAAGCCTTTGTTTTCTCTCCATTTCAGCCATCCAAACACCTACTAATACACCACCACCTTCAAAGCAAGTAGTTCCCCTCAGACATTTAACTTCTGACGGCAATTTCTTGTTCTTGTAGCACTTTCTCTCCCCAACTCTATCTGCTCAATGTTGTCCCAGTCTTTGAGCCTCTTCTATCTTTACCTCCTTCCCTATATGGGCTATTCTATATGATTCTTCTTTCTACCAATACCTTCAACTTCCTTACACCCTTGCTCTTGCCCTGTAACCACCCAGGCAATCTCAATTTTGATCAAGTCAGCTATACATCTTCTCTTGCCTAAAGCTAGAAATTTCTACTAGAGAAAAATACTACCACCTTGGACAGAGCTACCACAAATTCCATGTCTTCAAATTCAGCTAGGTGCTCCAAGAAACCTAGCAATTCTTTTTGGTGTGTGTATCTGGCCAGTTTTTCTATTCCTCACAATATCCCATTCAATTCTTCACCACTTGCCTAAAACTCCCTGCTCCATCACCAATTCTTTTATGTCTGGCATTCACTTTTTCATCTTCTTTACAGAGGGAACAGCAACATGAGTAAGAAATCCCTCACTTCCCTGGCCTGTGACATATAAACGCTGCTTCCTTCTGTGCCCTAATCCTTCACCTCTTCCCTGATGGGAATCTCCCTCCTCCTCATCAGCTCCCTACTCCATTATTAAAAATGCCCATGTCTCTTCAACTACCCCCCCAAAATAATCTTCATAAACAGAATTCCCTCTTAACTTATCATTGTCTCTCTCTTTATTAAAGCAACTGAATAAAAATATTTTTTAATTATCTTTACTCCTAGAATATGCAATGGAACACAGACAGTTCATTCAATAAATGGTACTGGGAAAACTGGACTACCACAAGCAAAAAAAAAAAAAAAAAGAAAAGAAAAGAAACTAAACCACTACCTCTCACCATACACAAAAATCAACGCAAAATGAATAAAAGAACTGGACATGAGACCCAAAACCATAAAATATATAGAAGAAAATATAGGTAAAACACTACAAGACATACATTTCAGTAACATCTTTAAAGACTCATCACACAAAGCAAAGAAAATCAAGGAAAAGATAAACACCTGGCATTACATCAAACTGAAAAGCTTCT